AAAAAAAAAAAAAAAGAATATATAAACTAAGTTAAAAGGGAAGACAAAACAGCCAGGGTGAAAAAAGAAAGCAAAATGAAGGTGAGGATAAAATAGAACTCAGAATGAGGCTAAAAACGCATAGTCTGATGGTCTCCACTTTCCACACAAATATGGGAGACAGGATCAGCACCACGACATGGCCCCAAATACTATTACTGAGGATATCCGGCAATTCGGCAGATATTTGGCAACGAGACCAAAGAGGAGCTCACCCAGGCCGCCCCCAGGGAGAAAAGCGGGTGATGAAGGTCCACATGGACATCTCTCCGGCCATGTGCTGGGTATTCAACTCACCTACACCTAAATGCCATTACCAACTCTCGCTGAAAAATACAAATGAAAGCCAAGCCTACCGAATCAAAGAACTTTCCAAATGTTCATCAAAGAAGAACTTTCAAAATGTGAACAAGAGCCCTAAGGCAAATCCCCTGGAAGAACATACAGCTGCCTTGGTCTACAGTTAACGGATATTTTGTTCTTCCATCAAAGCAACTACAGACCGAATTAGAAAACATAAACTCTGTGTCTTTTTTTTTTTTAATGAGAACAGTAGGTAAGATCCGTTTCGACGACATATCCAAACGTGCTCCGTACCTTCCATCTCCCACCTTGGTAATCCCTGTACCTGAATCTGTTGGTGGCAGGGGTGGTTTCCATGTTGAATTCGGCCACTGGCACTCCCCGCGCAGACACCTGGGGCGCGAACATGGCGGCAGGGTAAACCACGGAGGAAGTTCCCACCTACCAAGCAAACGAATGGAAACAGACAAATGACCACACGATGCAGAGAAGAAACATTCTTTCAGAAAACCTGACATAAACTCAGGCCAGTTTGTGGTTGCAGATGTGAGGAAAGCTAAGCTGGATGAGATCAATGGGGAGCTTCCAAGGGACAGATGGGAAGTTAGGAGGCATCCTTTCAGCTGATCACTGGAAGAATGTGCTAGAAGAAAAGCAGCACCAATGCAGAGAATGGCAGATGAATGGCTCGGTTTTGTTTCTGCTCTGGGAGGTGATGCCAAGAATCCATGTTCTTTTTTTTTTTAACATTAGAAAATTCCAAGAAAAAATATATACATGTCATTCAGAATCCTACTACCCCAAGATGACCACTGTTCACATTTTGATATATATTCTTTCAGGTTTTCCCTACAAATACATATTCACAAATGTGCTTTCCAAGAAAGGAAAGGCCAGAACATGCTGTACAAACCAGCTTTTCTCATCTGACCATCGGTCATGAGCACTGACGTTCTGGGATGCGCTCAATAAATACTGGCTGAATGAATATGCACCCGTGAGAAAGTGCTTCTGCTTTTAAAGACAAGTTACAGAAATTCTGAAATAGCCTTTGTCCAATTAACTCCACTTCTAGGAAAATATGCCCTAAGGAAAGGATCTGAAGAGCATGCTAAGAAGTTATGGCTGAGGATATTCACCATAGCATTATTTAAAATAACAAAATGTGAAATGGCCTAAATGTCTAAAAATAGAGAATTGGTTAAATATCTCCTTTTATATCCAAGCAATAGGACATCATGCAGCCAATTAAAAGGTGATGCAGATTTGTGGTGTACTGGCATGGAATATACGTGAATAAAGTTGTTTCAAAACAAAACACACAGTCTGAACCCATTTTTGAACTTTAAACAATATGTATACATCTGCATAAGAAAAGGTCTAGACCAGGGGCAGGCAAACGTTTTTCTGTAAAGAGCTGGATAATAATGTTTTTAGGCTTTGTAAGCCAGACAGCCTCCACCACAAATAGTCAACTCTGCCATTAGAGTGTGAAAGCAGCCATAGACAACACAGAAAAATGGACACGGCTGTGTTCCAATAAAACTTTATTTACAAAAGCAAGTGGCAGCCCAGATCTGGCCCACAGGCCACAGTTTCTCATTTCTGATCTAGGAAAAACAAAAACAAAAAAAACTAAAATGCTTACAGTGGCTATTTCTGGATGGTAGAGTTATTGGTGATTTCTAATTTCCTCTTTGTAATTTTGTACTTTTTTGTTTTCTCAAATTTAATAATGAGCATGTAGTACTTTCAAAATCAGAACCAATAACATGTTTTTTGCTTTTGTTTTTGGTGGGAAGAGGCTTTGTGAAGCCCAAGACACAGTCTTACATAGTTTCACATTTAAGATGAATTCGTATTCATTGTTTCTTCATTTTTCTGTAGGGTACCACGAGTAGGGTACAACACACAAATTCAGAGGGGAAAGGAAGGAAAGGGAACAGAGAAGAAAGGAAGGGAGGAGGGAGGAGGGAGGGAGGAAGGGAGGAGGGAGGAAGGAAGGAAGGAGGGAGGGAGGGAGGAAAAAAACACCAAACTCCACCCCAGTCCTGGTGTTACAGAAAATCTCAAAGATCAAGGAAGGGAATGACCTACCACTAGACATAAGTCACAGAGGGTCAGCTCTCTGTCAACCTCCTCCAGAATGGCAGGATCCAGGTTTTCTCCAAACCACACCACGTGAGGTCGCAGCAGGCCCCCGCACCCTGCCTCTTCGCACCTGTAAGAACATCATCCTTCACCCAACCCCAACACCTGTCCCACCAGGTCTGCCCAGGTGGATCAAAGGAAGACTAGGGGCTACCCCAAATCCAGTCTGTCCAGTTGCACAGCTCTGATCCTTCTTATCCTCTGTTCCTCCCCTTCCAGACCATGTGAGCTTATCCTGTATAGAAAGTACTCGTGTTAACGGCCCTTGTGTTGACAAATGTGTTTCGGCCAACCGTCACATTCCCTTTCTAAACAGTGTTTATTCATAAAAAGACAGACAACAGGCCCAAAACGGAGTCCCTTGTGCTAAGCCCCACGTCAGCAAACCAAGACTTAATACCTCACCACCTGGCTGCAGCTTCAGCCTCTCCAGGGAATGTGAGCTTTAAACCAGTCAGTGTGGAACCTCCTGGTCAGCACTAGTGGGGTACTCTGCTGAAATGCCCCTTGTGTCCCCTACAGGACGGTGACCTTGCCTGAAACAACTCCCTCTTTGCTAGAGAATCTTGCTTGCCCTGCCTCCTTCGGCCTATAAAAGTCCTCCATTGTGTGTGGCTCCTCGGAGCTCCTTTCTGTCTGCTAGATGGGATGCTGCCTGATCGGAGAAGCTCGGACAAAGCCAACTGGCTTTAACAGCAGCTTTCTCCTTCCCAGCTACTTCACCGCACACATCGGTGTGGCTGCCTGGGAGCAACGAGGCTCAGACCCGCCTCTAACACCCCAACCACTGCTGGTCTCATCAATGACCCCCTTTCTGGTTTCCTCGGATTCACCTTTTTCTTGCCCTAACCACAGCCAAGTTCTCCAGGGTCAATTACCAAAACCCTCCATCTTTCACTCCCTACTACCTCTTAGGTCATCTTACATATACCTTCTAAAATAATCCCCCAAACGTCATTTTCATCATAATAATCTACTCAAGAACTGCTCAGGATTCCCTACTGTTTTATATCGAACTTTAGAATTCGGTAATGAAAACCCTTACTAAGAATCATAAAAAGGGTTCTGTGGTTAAATAAACGGGTGAAATATTATAACCACTTAAGGAACAGTGTATTTCAGCACATTAAATGCTCTGAGAAGTCCTGCAGGAAAGCAAACATACTCCGACTTTGTTTAATCTGTGGTTTCCAAATTTATTTGAGCACGTAACATCATTTTTTTCAAGTAATGCCCATCAATGTTGCATGGATCTAATGCTCTATGAAATATTTTAGGAAACACTGTGGTAACATCTGGTTTTGAAAAACTGAGATAAAAAAATCTCTCTAGGGTTTATCGTAATCTATGAAAATCCTGTTTGGTCCTGTAATTTCACCTTCGCAAGACCTTTTACCGCCTCCTTTCCCTGGATTGGTAACACTGATGACGATGAGGAGGATGAAGATGATACAAGAAGTCAGCCTCTATGCTTGACACACACCAGATACACATCTGTAGCCTCACAGCTCCAGAAACTTCCAGACCTCAAACTCTCCCACCAGAACACAACGCAAAAAGAGACCAGAAAGGAACAGTTCTCCTCACCCTGGTTTGGTTCACCTTCGCCTTTTCACCCTTGGCCTCATAGGTCAGGGCTGGTTTCTGCATTGGCACATTTAAAAGGCACCTCACAGAGCACCTGGGTGGCTCAGCCGTTGGGCGTCTGCCTTCGGCTCAGGTCATGATCTCAGGGTCCTGGGATCGAGCCCCGCGTCGGGCTCCCTGCTCAGCAGGAAGTCTGCTTCTCTCTCTCCCTCTGCTCCCAAGCATCCCACTGCTTGTGCTCTCCCACTCTCTCTCTCTCAAATAAATAAAAAATCTTAAAAAAAAATAAGAGGCACCTTACAAAATGAACTTATATTTTGATTCCCTTTTCTCACAATCTGGAAAACCAAACATGGATCAACGTTATTTTACCCACCGGGGAAGTTTCTCCACTGGGATTCTGGCATCTTGAGCTTCAGGGTCTGGAGCACTGAAGTAAACAGTATTAGAAAAGAAACAATGTCATTGGTATAATCGAAGAACAAAGAGATAACATAACCCAATGAGTCTGTGTATTTGCCTGGCAGCACATGGTTCAAAACCCATAATTAATACATGCTGACTTAGAAGGGTACAAGAAGGACAGACACCAAACAATTAACTACCAGTGATTTTACCTCAAAAGAGGGAATGTGTATGTGGGGAGGGGGGTGGAGCAGCCGGTATGCTAAGGGGGAGTTTCATGATACGCACTGTATCCATCATCATGATTTGACTCTTCTGCAATGATACTGTATTAATATATTACTTGTATAATTTACACTGCTTTAAAATGGCCAGGTAAAATTTTTCTCAATATTCTGAGTCTACTCTTATTTTTTAACCTAATTATAATAATAGTACATGTTCCTCATAGAATTGTTAGAAAATTCTAGAAAGTGAAAAAGAAGAAATCAAAATTTCCCATAATCCCAGCTTGATAATCACTATTAATATTTTGTTTTATTCTCTAGTGGTCTTTTACCTATATACAGATATACCAACATGAAGGGGGTGTGTGTGTGTGTGTGTGTGCACGCATGTGTGTGTTGGGATCATATTAGATAACAGATCCTATGGTTTTCACTTAGCATTGTACATTTTGAGCAAGATATTTCTTCTATCAGATGGATGTACTGTATCTAGTCTTATTTCTCACAAATATCCATGGGAATCCCAGGCTAAAGTTCAATTTCCTTACATTTATGTTCAACTGAAAAGAGAAAACAACACACACTCGTTCTGGAGGGCAGTATAATTACCCTTTCCCCGATAAAGCCGGACAAATTGGACTCTTGTAATTCTCAGCCACAATGTCACAAGAGGTACAGCGAGTTTTAAATAAGCTACCTGAAAAACATGAATCCAACAAGACCAGAATTTAGTATAATTAAGACCAATTGTCTCCATGTCTGAAGGGGTACAAAATAATTGAGTTTTTATAGGTTCATGTTAGCAAATGGGCCTGCCCTAGGTATCAAGGGAAATACAAAGGCGTGCAGAGGTCCTGAGTAAGCGGAGAGCATCTACCTTCTGGACTCCGTAATCTGGAAGGGAGAGAGAGAAAATCACTTACTACATGACTAATGAGCTCTTGAATGACCTCGATGTGCAGGTGGAAGTGTTCAGTAGGGCAGATGAAGCCAAAGTAAACCAAAGGGCATGGTTTACTACATATATGATTGATAAAGGTTCCATACCTTGGATGTATTTGCAAAATCTTAATTTTGACCTAACAAATTTTGAATCTTTCATACAAAAGCCACTCAATAAATACATAATCAACTAGTACATGAAGCAAATAATTATTAAAATTAGTGACCATTTCTTGAGCTAAGCTGGTAACGGTGACTGTAATTCATCAGATATTCGTCCCGTGCCCAGCGCTGCACCGAGCCCGTCCACACCAGAGTGGATGTGTATTGCTCCATTCCGTCCAGCAATCCTTCCTCGGGGAGCCATCTCTCTTCTACCCCATCCGAGCGGAAGGAGCTGTTGATTGCATCCCAAAATACAAGCTCAGGCCCACGCTCCAGACTGGTCCAATCACGGTACCTAATCCGTTACTCTCAGTGGCCTGATGGGACAAAGGCCAGCCCCGGCCATTTCAGCCGGCGAACCACAGAAGGGCCATTTGAGGAGGACAATGAGTTCTGGCTGTTGTCTAGAACCCTTCCACGGACACGTTTGGGTGAGAGCCAGAAAGGCCCAGTATCGGACTCTGCAGGAAGAGTGTCAACAGCTTGGAAGGGAACCCGGAGACGAGAGAGGAGCAGCCTTTTAGGGAATGCTATGTCACCGATCCCCAAGAAGGCACAGAGCATGGAAGATCTGATCTGATCTCAGCTCAGGTCCTGATCTCAGAGTTGTGAGTTTGAGCCCCGCCTTGGGCGTGATGCATCTTAAAACTGATGGCATCTTTAGTTTGATGAAAGGCGGGGCTTTCTTTTGTTTTTACCTAAATTAGAAGAGAGTTCTACTCATCTGCAACCCCCAAAGTCCCAACTAAGATGCACATATTATCTTATTTAATCCTTAAAACAACCGTAAGATAGGTGTTAACATCACCATTTTATACATTTATGCATGGCAAGTGACACCACCGACATTCTGAAACTGCAGAGAAATGAGCCACATGGACAGACCCTGTGGAAGAAGGTGCCAGCAAGACACTCAGTCAGTCCTACTGCTAGAACACAAACACGAGACAGGGCCCAAGTGAACCGTGCTCGACTGCCATGATCCCAGGCAAAAATGGGCAACGTCACTGCACACCCACAGAAACCAGCAACATTCTCCATGCGGCCACTGCTTCTGGAAATTCCACAATTAGAAATGCATTCCTTGGGATGGAAGTTTGGTAGGCTCTTAAATACAAATGCCCTTGGGAAGAGATCTTGCATACCCATGTATGCCCTTGTATGAATGAATTTATTAGATTTTTGGTGAGCTCCAAGCCGGGGGGTTGGGGGGAGAGGATAAAAGAGGACGCGAGGGAAAAGGAGGGAGAGAAGGGAAGCCAGCAGGATACAAGACAATCTCCTCGGGTGTCATAAACTTGATGGGCTGGCAGCAATGAAGGTCACCGATCTGGCAACTTCCCTAAAGGCTTGCTGGCTGAGCAGAAGCACGGCCTCAGGGGAGAGAGCCAACTGGGGACAAAGGGAAAGTAAATGGCTACCCCCAAGAATGCCAGAGTCTTAGTTGTCCCCAGCCTCCCGTTTTCCCTCAGCCCAGCTGGGCACTTGCACTCCTGTGGTGTAATGCGCACACCAGACGCCTGGGGCATCTTGTTAAAATGCAGATTCTGATTCAGTGCCTCCGGGGTTGGGGGGGAATGGCAGGACTTGTGTTTTGAAGTCTGGTTCCCCTCCCCGCATGAGGGCCCCTCACCATGGATTTCCAGAAGGTTCTTGGTACCAGCCCTGCGGTGCAGCTCATCGATGTTTTGTGTGATGACCATGACTCGTCGCCCCTGCCCGCGCAGCCGGGCCTCACATTCAGCGATGGCCAGGTGCCCCGGGTTTGGCTCCTTGCTCAGCATGACCTCCCGCCGATAGTGGTAGAACTCCCACACCAGGGAAGGGTTTCGCGCAAAGGCCTGTGGGGTGGCCAGGTCCTGGTGGGGGAGGCGGGGAGAAGAGGCGGGAGTCAGAGAGGGAAGGCCAGGATGCACTAATGCTCTGGGCCACAGAAGCAGGCGGCTTCTGGAGGGAGCAAGCTGGAACACACCTGCCGGAGGCCCACGCAGTGTGGCAGACTCAGGACAGGGACCCCCAAATATACAGGACATCGATTTCATTTATCCAGGAAAAAAAAGTAAAATGCAAAATGCCCACTTAAGGTATAATGGCCATAGCTGAGAAACTCAGTTTTTTTATAAAACTATAATTATAGGTACACGCATACATGCAACTATGCATATAAAAAACAGGATATATATTAACAGAATATATAAAAATATATTTTTAAAGGATGATTCCTCTTCTAGGATGGGAAAAATCTCATCCACGGCGAAAGAGAGGAGAGTCGTTGTTGTCTGGGGCTGCAAGCCGATGGGAAAGGCCACAAGGGAACCTCTGGCAACGACTGAAATCGTTTTTATCTTGGGGCTCCTGGGTGGCTCAGTCACTTGGGCATCTGCCTTCAGCTCAGGTCCTGATCCCAGGGTCCTGGGATCGAGTCCCGCATAGGGCTCTCTGCTCAGCAGGGAGTCTGCTTTTCCCTCTCCCCCTGCTTGTGCTGTCTCTCACTAGCTCTCTCTTTCTCTCAAATAAATAAATAAAATCTTTAAAAAAAAAAAATATTCTACATCTCGATTGTGGTGGTGGTGGTATGCATTTTGTTGGACTATAAAGGTCACCCTTCTAGCTGGTAGTAGAGTCAGCCTTCATTTGGGGAGTGAATGGGGAGCAAACGTCTATGCTGTGGATTATCCACATCCACCCTGTACATCCTTCCTGCCCTCCACGCACACCGCGAGTGGCCTGAAGCAGTTTACAGGTGCCACGGGAACATGTCTACGCATGTCCTTGGAACAGAGCTGGAGTCAGACACATTCTTCTTTGCTTCCCCACAAACTCTGAGCTGCTTTGACACCACTGACCGCCTCTCTCCTCTAGAAGAGCCCCCTGACCCCTCTGAGCCCCCACCCCCTGCTCCTCTAATTCAGGGACTGCTCTGTGTGGCTCCTCTCTCTCGTGGGACCCTAATGGCCCTCTGCGCTCCTTCCTCCGCTCCTTCACCTTTCAGGCAATGATCCCCACATCTACCTCCACGGGCTCAGCTGGAGGGCAGCAGAGGGGCGACAAAACATCCCACACATTTGCCAGCCTGAAGCATTTAATAGGGCAGGAAAGGTAGGTTCATTAACCCTTCACTTAACAAGACACTACCTACTAAAATTGGAATTCAGGGCGCCTGAGTGGCTCAGTTGGTTAAGCGACTGCCTTCCACTCAGGTCATGACCCCAGGGTCCCGGGATCGAGTCCCGCATCGGGCTCCCTGCTCATCGGGGAGTCTGCTTCTCCCTCTGACTCTCCCCCCTCTCACGCTCTCTATCATTCTCTCTCTCTCAATAAATAAATAATCTTTAAAAAATAAATAAATAAATAACATTGGAATTCATGTACTGAAATAACTATTTATGATGGCCTTCATTCAACCAACAAAAGTCTATCAAGACTTACATGTGCCAGAGTTCTGGGAGCTGAGGACAGAGCAATGGATAAAACAGACAAAACCTGGGCACCTGGGTGGCTCAGTCGGTTAGGTCTCTGCCTTCGGCTCAGATCATGACCCAGGGTCCTGGGATCGAGTCCCGTGTCGGGCTCCCTGCTCAGCGGGACCTCCCTCTCCCCTCGTTCATGCTCTCTCTCTCAAATAAATAAATAAAAATATTTTAAAAAATAAAAATAAAAACAGACAAAACCTCCTACACTCCAAAACTAGGGGTTTCCTGGGCCAGGGCGAGGCAAGGAAGCTGAATGCATAAGGCTAAAGGTACATTCTGGGCCCAGGATGGCGGGTGGTGGCTACACTTGTTAAAATTCATTGAATGATACACTTCAAATTGGTGAGTTTTATTGTACATACAGTTAATCCTTGAACAATGTGGGGCTAAGGGCACCGACCTCTGTGTGGTCAAAAATCTTCCGTGTAACTTTTGATCCCCCAATTTAACTACTAATAGCCTGCTGTTGACGGAAAGCCTTACCAATAACAGAAACAGTCAATTAACACATATTTTGTATATGTAATATATACTGTATTCCTCAATAAAGTACACTAGAAAAAAATGTTATTAAAATCATAAGAGGGCGCCTGGGTGGCTCAGTTGGTTAAGCGACTGACTGCCTTCGGCTCAGGTCATGATCCTGGAGTCCCAGGATCGAATTCTGCATTGGACTCCCTGCTCAGCAGGGAGTCTGCTTCTCCCTCTGACCCTCCCCCTTCTCATGCTCTCTCTATCTCATT